GTCAGCGAGTGACCCACTGTACGTGTGCTCGGACGGGCCGACACTTGGCCACGTTTACCCCGTCAGCCGGGGTCGAGCCTGTACACACTGACTACTGAGTCTCCTCAGGTAGCTGCGTCGAGTCAGGTGTTTGCTGCAGCGTCCAGGTCTGGTCCTGAGTCTGCCCCCTGCTCGTGTCGTCTCCTGTCTCACCAGACTCTCCTCTGGCACCACCGCCTTGGTCACCCCTCCCTGCCTCGTCTCCGAGGCATGGCCTCTCGTTTCCTTGTCTCGGGTCTCCCCCGGTCCCTCCCTTCTCTTCCTCCGGGGCCTGGCCCCACCTGCGTTCCCTGCGTCGAGGGGCGGCAGCGCGCCGCTCCTCACTCCTCCGAGTTTCCGCCGACAGAGGCTCCGCTGCAGACTCTTCACATGGACGTGTGGGGCCCAGCCCGCGTCCGTGGACAGGGTCACGAGCGTTACTTCCTGCTGGTGGTTGACGACTACTCGCGTTACACCACAGTCTTCCCCTTGTGCACCAAGGGTGAGGTTACTGGGGTGTTGATCGACTGGATCCGCGCTGCTCGTCTCCAGCTCAGGGAGAGTTTCGGCTCGGACTTTCCTGTTCTGCGTCTGCACTTCGACAGAGGTGGAGAGTTTTCCTCCGACCTTCTGCGAGCCTACTGTCGTGCGAGGGGCATCCGCCAGAAGTTCACGCTTCCGGCCTCTCCACAGCAAAATGGGATTGCTGAGCGCCGCATTGGCATGGTCATGGACGTCGCTCGTACGTCCATGATCCATGCGGCTGCTCCCCATTTTCTGTGGCCGTTTGCGGTTCAGTACGCGGCGCAGCAAATCAACCTTCAGCCCCGGGTCTCCATGCCAGAGACCTCCCCCACCCTGCGGTGGACGGGGAAGGTTGGCGATGCGTCTGCGTTCCGTGTCTGGGGATCTCGGGCTTTCGTCCGAGACTTGTCTGCGGACAAGCTGTCCTCACGTGCTGTTCCTTGCGTCTTCCTTGGCTTCCCCCCTGATGCGCCTGGTTGGCAGTTTTACCACCCCACCTCGCGCCGTGTTCTGTCCTCCCAGGACGTCACGTTTGACGAGTCGGTTCCCTACTACCGTCTCTTCCCCTACCGCGCTGCCCCCCTCCCCCCCCCGCCGCTCTTCCTCGCGCCAGGTCCCCCCCCGGTCGACCCCCTCCCCCCTCAGGGTCCTGCCCCCTCAGGTGTGTCCCAGGTAGACGCAGTCGAGCCTGTCGAGGTATCTGTCGACTCTGGTGCTGCTAGGGGTGCTGAGCCTGCGGGTGCCGGGTCTGGGGGTGCTGAGCCTGAGCGTGCGGAGCCTGGGGGTGCGGAGCCTGGGGGTGCTGCGTCTGGGGGTGCTGCGCCTGGGGGTGCTGAGTCTGGGGGTGCTGAGCCTGGAGGTGCTGAGTCTGGAGGTGTGGAGCCTGCGGGAGCTGGGCCTGCTCGTGTGGAGTCTGGCGGTACTGGACCTGGAGGTCCTTCGGGTGCTTCGTCCCGGCGGGAGCTGCCCTCTCCACAGGAGCTGCGTGAGTGGTTTGCTCGCCGCTGGAGTCGTGCTGCTGGAGCTGGTGGTGCTGCAGGTGCTGGAGGTTCTGCGACTGCTGGAGGTTCTGGAGCCACAGGTCCCGGAGGTGCTCGTACCGGCGGTACTGGAGCTGCTGGGCCTGGTTGTGCTGCTGGTGCTGGAGCTGGAGGTGCTGCTGACGTGGGTGCTGCTGGAGGTGCTACTGGAGCTGGTGCTGCTGCGTCTTCTGGTGGTCCTGCTGGTGCTGGAGGTGCTGGAGGTCTTGGCACTGGAGGTGCTGCTGGAGCTGGTACTTCTGGGGGTGCTGGAGTTGGCGCTGCTGGAGCTCCTGGCGCTACTACTGGAGCCGGTGGTGCTGCTGGAGTTGGAGCTGACACTGGGGGTGCTGTTGCTGTCCCTGCTGGTTCTGGAGGCGCTGCGCGGCCACGGCCGTACTTCGTTCCGCTCCTTGAGCAGGTTCTTGGCCTTCCGCCTTCTTCTGGTCCTGCTCCTTCCTTAGAGTGTCCACCGCCTGTCCAGTCCGAGTCACAGCTACAGCTGGCCTCCCCACTGCCTGCTCCTTCTCCCTACGCTGGTCCTACTGGAGGTCTTGCTGAGCGTCGTGAGCCTGAGTCGCGTCCTGCGTCACCTGTTCGTGCTGCTCGCACTGGTCGTCGTGTTCCACGTCAGCGTCCTCCTGCGGTCTCGGGCACGCACCAGATGGCACTGCGTCCTTCCACTGCTCCACAGCGTGTCCCGTTGCCGTCTCCTCCTGCGTCCTCCCTTCCTGCTCTTGCTGACCCGGAGTCTGACTCCCTTCGTGCTGCCAGTCCTACTGTCACGCGTCTCCTGGCTACTGTTGTCACTGACCCTTCCTTTGAGTCCACTGCTGCGTCTGCCCTAGTTGCTGAGCTTGTCGACTTCGCTGCTCACTGTCGTCTAGACTACGCCGCTAGTCTTGTTGCTGAGTCTGAGTCTGTCTGTCCTCCATCCGTCGGGGGTGAGTGTGCTCTTAGCACGGACGTCCTTGAGGACAGGCAGGAGGAGCTCCAGTGTTTTGCTGCTGCTTTGCCTCATCTCGTGTCCATGCTGATTGCCCGTGAGGGAGACCCGGATGCACCAGACATCCCGACTCCTCGATCGTACGCTGAGGCGATCGAGGGTCCCTACTCCTCACAGTGGCAGTCAGCCATGGACGCAGAGATGGCTTCCTGGAAGTCCACAGGCACCTACGTCGACGAGGTTCCCCCACCTGGGGCGAACATCGTCAGTGACATGTGGATTTTCAGGGTGAAGCGGCCGCCGGGTTCTTCGCCTGTCTTCAAGGCGCGTTACGTGGCTCGAGGCTTCAGTCAGCGGCAGGGAGTTGACTACTTCCAGACCTTCTCCCCTACCCCGAAGATGACCACTCTTCGGGTACTGCTGCACATAGCCGCTCACCGTGACTACGAGCTTCACTCTCTCGACTTCAGCACTGCTTTCCTACAGGGCAGCCTGCACGAGGAGATCTGGCTGTGCCGCCCTCCTGGCTTCACTGGGTCGTTTCCTCCTGGTACCCAGTAGAGCCTCCGGCGGCCAGTCTACGGTCTCCGCCAGGCACCCCGCGAGTGGCACGACACACTGAGGACTACGCTTGCGGCTCTTGGGTTTGCTCCTGCTACTGCTGACACGTCGCTGTTTCTACGCACCGACACCTCGCTGCCGCCGCTCTACATCCTCGTGTACGTCGACGACTTGGTCTTTGCTACTGCTGACACTGCTGGACTCGCCCACGTGAAGTCGGAGCTGCAGAAGAGACACACGTGCACAGACCTGGGTGAGCTGCGCAGCTATCTTGGCTTGCAGATCACCCGGGAGAGAGCACGGCGCACCATTACCCTGACTCAGTCACACATGGTGCAGCAGGTCCTTCAGCGCTTCAACTTCACGTACTCCTCGCCTCAGCCCACTCCTCTGTCTACGCGCCACACGCTCTCAGCTCTGCCTTCGGATGAGTCCGTAGAGCCGAGTGGCCCGTACCCAGAGCTTGTCGGCTGCCTCATGTACCTGATGACCTGCAGTCGTCCTGACCTAGCATACCCTCTTAGCATCCTGGCACGCTATGTTGCTCCTGGGAGACACCGACCAGAGCACATGGCTGCAGCGAAGAGGGTGTTGTGCTACTTGTGCAGTACGTCGGGCATGGGGCTTGTGCTTGGAGGGCAGAGTCCAGTGGTCCTCACTGGTCACGCAGACGCTTCTTGGGCTGACGACTTGGCTACGCAGCGGTCGTCACAGGGTTACACCTTCAGCCTTGGTTCCGGCTCTGTTTCGTGGCGGTCTACCCGCTCGTCTTCTGTTCTCGGCTCCAGCTGTGAGGCCGAGATCTACGCAGGGGCCATGGCTGCACAGGAGTTACGCTGGCTCACCTACCTGCTGACCGACCTGGGAGAGCCGCCTCGTTCTCCTCCAGTTCTGTACGTAGACAACAAGGCCATGCTGGCCTTGTGTCGGGAGCACAGACTGGAGCACAGAACGAAGCACATTGCTCTTCGCTACTTCCTTGCTCGTGAGCTGCAGCAGCGTGGTCAGCTGCGCCTTGCTTACGTGGCCTCTCAGGCCAACACTGCTGATATCTTTACCAAGGCACTTCAGCCTTGTGATCATCAGCGCTTTTGTACGATGCTAGGTCTTGTGCCTACTTGGCCTCACTTGCTCACTTCGTGACCTTGCTTGTACTGTGATCTATATATATCTGCACTTGCTTGTTTACCTTATATGATCCTGCATGTGAACTGGCCTTGTGGCCTTGAACCTGTGCTCGGAATGTGTGGTGACGTTGTGATCCACCCTGAGCTTGCTTTGCTTTGCTTGACTGGTCTTGTGACCCCTTGTTCTCCCCCACTTTGCCTATGGGGGTGTGTCAAACTTATATGATTTAGCCTGTGTAGGCTGTAGCGGGTTAGATACTAAGGGGTACACAATTCTAGGGTTACATATTTGTATCACACTCTTTCCTTCGTCATTCATTTCCTTGTTCTTTCACACATCATTGTGCCGCTGGACCCACATGAATTTGTGCCACTCCTTGCATCCATGGCTGCATGGAGCAGCGTCAAGAGTAAGCATGCTACAACACATGATTTGCATGTAGCTACTACAGTGTTTGATTGTCCAATACCACACACTTTGCATCTCTCGTCTTCCGTTCCCCTCTCTCCAAATCACCCTTCTTCTCCCCCGAGTACAATACATTAGCAATGGTGGTGTGTGTGAACGTGTCCACGCTCCAGCTGTCATCCGAGCACAAGCCCGCACACACGCACGCACACGCACGCACACATGCGCACGCATGCACGCGCACACCGCGCGCACGCGCGTACACACGCGCACACATGCACACACGCACACATGCACACACGCACATACGCGGACACATGCGCACACATGCACACACATGCACACGCACACACGCGCGCACACGCGCACACACGCACACACATGCACACGCTTACATGCACACACATCCACACACCCACACACACCACACACACACACACACACACCCAACCCACCCCCCCCCCCCCCCAGACACGCACCCACCCCACACCCACACCCACACTCACACCCACACCCACACCCACACCCACACCCACAACCACAACCACACCCACACACACACGAATGTTGCAAATGCTGATCATTTATACATCTTTGGTAACTAGAGGAAACAAAAATATTTACTCATGAACCATTTGCTATTAGACACTTATGTCTGCCCATTTGATCCGTAGCAAGTATCTGCATCCCAGTGAAAACATCGGTGGGATGCGTTGTGTGTGCCGCGGCTGCATGGCTTCACTTTATGAAGTCCTGAACGCTTATGCTGTTGCCTCCCCCGAGTACATCAAATACAGGATGGTACAAATTCTGCAGCTGCTGCTTCTGCTTGTGGTGCAGCAACAAACTAGCACTGCTGCTGCTGCCCGGACAGCATCCCACAAGTCCCAACACAATGGCTGTCGGTGGCGACGTTACCAGCAACGGTGTCGTACTTGGGCCCCCCTGGTGTTCATCCGCCTGCTCTTCTGTCGTCAAAGTAGGATGTGGCAGAAGCGATTGCTGCTCGAATCCATTGCTGCATCTCGAAGGGAGCGAGCCCAGGGAATCATGACTGCACACACGCGTAAGGGCGTGTGGCAGGGCGTGTGGAGGGGCGTGTGGAGGGGAATGTGGAGCGGCATGTGGAGGGGCGTGTAGAGGGGCATGTGGAGAGGCGTGTAGAGGGTTGTGCAGAGAGGTGTGCAAAGGAGTGTGCCGAGGGGATTGCACAGGGGTGTTCAGAGGGGTGTGTAAAAGGGTATGCCGAGGGGCGTGTGGAAGGACGTATGGTGGAACGTATGGAGGTGCAGCTAAAGACGTATGCAGAGAGGAACTTGCAGAGGCGTGAAGTGGGGCATGTGGAGGGGCATGTGAAGGGGCGTGTGAAGGGGCATGAGAAGGGGCGTGTGAAGGGGCATGTGGAGGGGCGTGTGAAGGGGCATGTGAAGGGGCGTGTGAAGGGGCATGTGGAGGGGCGTGTGAAGGAGCATGTGAAGGGGCGTGTGAAGGGGTATTTGAAGGGGCATGTGGAGGAGAATGTGAAGGGGAATGTAAAAGGAACTGTGAAGGGGAATGTGCAGGGGCATGTGGAGGGGAATGTGAACGGAAATGTGAAGGGGAATGTGAAGGGGCATGTGAAGGGGAAAGTGAAGGGGAATGTGAAGGGGAATGTGAAGGGGAATGTGAAGGGGAATGTGAAGGGACATGTGAAGGGGCATGTGAAGGGGCATGTGAAGCATCTCCCCCCTCAGCCGCACCCATCATTAGCCAGGTCTCCTGGGCCTTGGCAAGAATCTTTGTGAGTCGTGGGGAAAGCATCCTGGCTTTAACCAGCTTGCTGGCCGTCGCTGCTGCTGCCGCCGCCGCTGCCGCCTTCTCAAGCTGGGCTGCTTGACGCTTGTGGCGGCGTGGGGGAGGCCCTCGTGCTTGGTGGTTGTGGTGTTGATGGTAGACCGTGACGAGTGTGAGCTCATGGCAGGCTGAGACTGAGAGGCGAGCTGAACTTGGGTCGCGATCTGCATCTGAGTGGCGGACAGGAATGCTGCTGGCAGTGTCTGCTCGTAAGTCTTCGGCAGGTACCACTTCCATATCATGCGGTGTTGCACTGCTGCTGCCTAACCTGTTGGCGTTAGCGGCTGGGAGGGGAGAACTTGTAGCGGTGCTACTAGAAAGGCGTGTAGGGCCGAAGTCGATGGTTTTTCTGGCAGGGCATTCTTCCGGACTCTTGGACCAGGCGCACCTGTAGTAGCACCTGTATATTGGGATAAAGAGAAAAGAGAAGCATGTGAGAGGGGAATGGAATATGAGTATGAGAAACTCGGTCGGGAAAAAGGGATCTTGGACGTGGCGCACCCGTCGTCTCGCACCGACGAGTGGAGGGTAAAGAGATGAGAGAACACGTGAAAGGGGAATGGAGTGGGGAGTACTTAGGTTTCAGTAATACAGGTCCAGGCACACCTGTTTTTTTTTAACTAGGTAATGAGTTCAGGGAAACATGTGAGATGGGAACGAAATGTGAGAACGAGGAGCACCTCTGGATCCTAGGATCTTGGAACATTCGCATCTGGTGTCCTAGCACTTAGCTGAGGAGTTTCAAGAGAGAAGAGAAGGATGTGAGAGAGGATTGGAATGTGGGAATGAAGGGTGCCTCGTGCTTCAAAGGATCCTTGACTAAGAGCACCTGTTGTCTTCGCACCTACGCGAGGAGGGGTAAAGATAAGAGAAGCATGTGAGAGAGGAATGGAGTGTGAAGATGAGGGGGTTTGGGAATGATTCCATTCTTCAGGTAGCTTGAACGAAGCGCACCTGTTGTTCTAGCACCTACTGCGTGAGGGGGATGAAGAGATAAGAGAAAGAAGTGCAGCGGAAAATAATATATAATTTATTCATGCTTCGGGAACAAGAGCACCTGTTGTCGTACCACCTGCGTGTGTGGCGGAAGGGGGGTGAAGAGATAGGGAATGGAAGGGGAAAGGGAGTGAGAATGGAGAGTACCTCAGGCTTCAAAAGTCTTGAACACCTGCTTGGGGGATGAGGAGTAAAGAGAAACACGGGAAGGGGGATTCAAATGATGTTAGCGTATTACCTCGGGCTGAAATAGGACCTGCTTGGGGCGATAAGAGAATGACGAACACGTGAAATTAAATATGCGAACGAAGCGCGCGGATACCTTGTCCTAGCACCTACATCGAGAGGGTGAAGCAATAAGAGGAACATGTGAGAGAGGAATGAAGAGCAACTCAAGCGTCAGATAACTTGGACCAGCCGCACCTGTTGTTCTAGCATAAGAGAAAGTTGTGAGAGGGGAAGGGACTTTGGGATTTATCAAATCCTTTGGGGGTCTTGGACCAAACGCTCCTGTTGTCCTCGCCAATGTGAGGTGGGTAAAGACATAAGATATAGATGGGGAAGTGGAATGGAATATGGAAATTATCTCATGCTTCAGGGGTCTTGGACCAAGCTCCCTTTCTGTCCTAGCACCTGCGTGTGGGGGTGGTGAAGAAATAGGGAATGCGGGGTGAGGAGGGGTTTGGAATGTGAGAATGGAGATAACCGCTGAGTCTCATCCAAACACCTCTGTTGTCCTAGAACCTGCGTGTGGGATTGACAGAAAAAGGGAAACATGGGAGAGGGGAGTGGAACATGGTAAGATGAGTACCTCAGGAACATTTGAGAATATCTGCAGAAAGACTTCTGATTGTCAAGCGGAGCTACTAAGACCTGAGAAGTTTAGCAATGATATTTAAAAATAGGAATGATGGGCCACTGAAATAACCACAGGAATATACATAGCCGTTTGCCAGAATGAAGTCCGGTAACTGATCCCCCCACTTGGGATCCCAGCAGATTCAAAAAGTATAGCTTTGACTCAAAGATACACTTTTGGGCCAGGCTAAAAATCATCTCGGAGATGGGTTCCCAGACTTCATTGTTTAACAACATTGTTTGAAAGATGTGGGACAGATACAGGATTGCATTGGGGAGGTGATTAGACGTGGTGCCTGTGCCTCAGTCCGAGTATTTGCACTCAATCCATCTCTACAGAGAATGTAGGGCCCAACATCAGCTGGGTTTTTCTGACACCAAAAAAAAAAAAAAAAACAACTAGCGTTAGTTTTAGGTTGAACCTTCCTGTTGAGAATATTTATTCGAATCGATAGGTTTCTCGAAGGCCAGCTGGAGAGGCAAAGGGCTCTAAATAATAGATCCAAGGGTCAGCCTGACATTTTACGACCTGACGTGGTTTCCGATGTGTTTTTTGCCGTACTTGAGCCACGTGTGGCCGTCTCCGTTCACGACTTCTGCCGGCAGCCTGCTGCTATCTGTGCTGAACACAGATCTGACGCGATGATGGTTGCTTGCGGCACTGACAGAGCTCATGGTTGCAGTAACGCCAGCATCAACGGTTACTAGGTCGGTCATACTCCTACATTACGATACTAGGAAAGCACGGCGTTTGAAGCCGGATAGCAGAGAGATGTTGGTGTGTTGGTCCTTCTGAGACCCAGTAACGATTTCGTGATACCGATGTGTACAATCCCTCATATTCGTTTTCAAGGAAACCCGAAACCATTTGCGGCCTTTTGATGCAGATGCCCTGGGATAAATGATGTTGTCATGTGCGGTGTTGTCAAATTTGACATAGGTATTGGAGACACACCCACTCGCATGGACCGAATTTTTGTTGCGATTTTCTTTCAAGTGCGCCACATGACATAGGACGTCTGAAACAATACCCTCTCAATAAACGAAATCTCCATACACAGCACTCGGTCTGATGTAACCAGGAGATCAGTAGTAATTTCCCATCTCGTCGTGCCCGTTGTTTTCCATCGAGCAACTTCGTATGGCGTCGTGCGCAAGTGTTGGTTCGTGTGCCCTTACCAAGTGGGTTTCTAAGCAAGGTCCCCTTTACGGGGTATTTTACCAGGTTCTGTAAATTCGGATGAGGTGGCCGTTCTGCATGTATGTATGTGTATACTGTAGGAGAGTTTAGGGTAATATGTGGGAGTTTTCAAGTACCTGAATAAGACCCGCCCACAAGGTGGCAGTGTGGCACTCTCCCTGGGATCCGCAATCCAATCCGTTGCCAGCAAGAGAAGGCAAGCGAAGTCGTCCTCTCCTCGAAGCGAAGCCTTGAATTGTTTCTTGTGGTCCACAGCAGTTACGAAAAAGTTTTGCTGCTTGTTTACGGCATACTCTGTATCTCGCCAGTGGAATTCGCGTGTATTTAGGTTAATCACCAAAACAAATTCAGCGCTGTGACATGGATGTGGGTAGAAAAAACGAGCAGCCTACAGTATAGACTGGTGAGAGTGGAGCGACTTTAGAAACCTGTGAATTTGTGTGATGTCTGCAACCAGGTCAGTGATAAAAACCTAGGCACAACTAGCGAGAAGCAACGGTGCTTGTCTCCCACACAATTTGCTACCTAAAAACATTGACGGTTGATTCCCGACAAATTCAGGACCCTCTGTTCTGTAGTTGAAACTGGAGTCACATTGTCGTATCACTCCCGCCCGTGAATGCACCTGATGCTCGTTCGACTCCCCCATACTTGCCTTGAGAACAGGGCTTTTACCTGATTCCAGCAAAAAGGGGCTTATAAAAAACTCAAGAGTTACACGTTGACAGTTTGACATCGGTCTCTTCGTTACCATTGGTTCATCATCACTGCATTGACAGTTTGACGTCGGTGTCTTTCTTACCATTGGTTCATCATTACTGTAACTTGCTCCGGGGGCTTGTAAACTGGGTGCAACTGCCCGGCACCAAAAGTTGGTGGGCAAACATTCTAAAATGGGCAGGGCAAATTTGCACGCAGGGGTTGAGCATCGTGTGTAGATGTATATCGTACACCGTAGCAGCGCGGAAGCATGGCGTGGCGGTCGGTGATGACAACTAGAGCTACCTGGCAGAAGATAAGGCGGGAGTAATGAGGCGTATATGCAACAAGGGGGCACCGCTGACGTGGAGGAGCAGTTTCAGCTCCATCTGGAACAATCCGAAGATGACTCATCGGCCACCGTAGGCTCGCTATAGGGAATCTGCGGTACATGCTACTATGGTGCTTCCCTCCAGACACAGTTACGACTGCCTGATGCGTTTTGTACATTATTCTTATAGTGTACTTTTCCGGGGTGTTGAGTGTTAGTAGGAAAATGGGAAAATTGGGAACGTAAACCGTAGTGGGTTTACCAAGTTGCCAGAATCTTAATTTATTTCAACAGGCATGTTTTGTCTCTTCGTATCTATCGCTGCAAGCGGTAAATGTCGGCATCCGACTTCATGTGTCCGCGTACAGCAATCAGCGATGATTGTTGGAGTCAATCGAAAAGTTGCTTTTAGCATTCCAGAAGGTGCAGCTTTATCGCATCTGCCACTAGTGACGCAACATATGTACCACTATCGCGTTAGCCTATATAGGGCACGCATGTCAACAGTCGCCCAGCTGATGAAGTGTGGCATCCAGCTGCGGTCATACGAAATGGAATTTCACTTGATTTACAGGGGCACCCTCATCGAAAAGGCAAGAAGAAAAAAACGGTGTATTCGTGGTAAACTTCGAAACGAGTAGACTTCACCTCATGTTTGGAATCATCCCGCCGAAACGGATCTGGAAAGACCAGGCCCATATGGACTGTGCCGCTCGCTCGTTGTTCTCGTCGCTTCAAGTTCAAATCTCGCAGACACGGTACCACAAGCAGTGGAAGAAGAAGTTACTAGTCAAGGAGGATTTGGACAAGGAGTCTGGCCAAGAGTTGAGCAACCTACAAGTTGGGGCGTAGCTACCGGCTGGGAC